AGTCACATAATGCTTGCCCTGAAAAGATGCCCAAGTATAAACACGATTCCTGCACTACAGTGTGTGAATGCAAGCGGGGCCAGCATCAGGTGGTTCGAAGATGAGGATGAAAATAAATGCAACATGGCAACAATTATAGTGCGGATTATACAACCAGCCTCCAGCATTCATAGTCATCATCATTCAGATCATGACAGAGTGGCATTTTAATTACATTCGAGCGGTGTTCGAGCAGAATTTGGCTTTCCAAACACCTTCGGGTTAAGCGGGTTGCCTGTGCGCCGGGGCAGCGAGTGTGCGAGCGGGCCACAGACCAATATATCTCCCCGGGAGGCAAAATGCGAAGAGCCGGCTCGAAACACCTTTTAAAAAAATGAAGAGATAATTGGGCGTGTATTCTGGGCAGTAAAAGATGACAGTACACCTTTTCATTACCGGTGTACTTTCGTCAGTGGCGTTTTTGTAGGCCTACAGGTGACAAGCTTCATCAGCCTTTTGTTGGTCATACTGTACTTGGATACATTATTGCAGCCAGGGTTTTATTGAATCAGGAAATAGCGGAGGTACTTCATCTTGTCTACACATCCTGCCCTTTCACTTTGATAACACGTCCGTACGGCGTTCGATGATGTTACATTAATTTCAGTAGCGTCAAAAGTTTGGTACCATGTTCCTGTCGAAGCAGATGGGTGCAATATCTAACAAGACAGGACACGGCAAGCCCAGAAGAGCTTGTCACAGAACTTACAACTTCAGGATGATCCAGCGAAAGCTGTATACTGGTAACGCAATGGAAACGAAAAAGACACTTTTGGCGTTCGCATGGAGACTTGACTTATTGCCTGCAAATGTATCGTGAAAGTGTGCTACGCAAGCGGCGCCAGACTAATGCGAATGCTACATGGCATACATGAATAGGCTCACAAGATAATTCACAAGTGACAGTCAGTCCGGGGAGTCAGTCAATTAGTCAGTCAGTTGAAGACACTATGACCATATCTGGGATCAGCAAACACGTGTATTGTTTGTTGCTGTAATAATTAGCTATCAAACTTACATAATCGATGATTTCGATTACATGTGAAATAAACAAGAACCACTGAACACAATGATGTTTAATTCCCCTAAGCAAGACCCAAATAAAATTTTGTCCTCGAGTCGTTGATAGTTATAATCCGACGCCATGTCAGAGTATCAACTACATACAGTAGAACTTTTCTACTATAAAACATATTCAGTCAGTTCACTTAGGAACCGAAACATACACTTGGAATCCTTCACCAATCATGATTTACCGTTGTTGTTTCTTAGAATATAGCAAGGAAAACAAATTAAATCTCAACGGGAACACCGAGGTCGCATTTCTGTTTGCATCCAAAACAGCTCTCGGCGTGTTCAGAAATCTGCCTCGTGTCTTTGTGGTCACCGAACATTGGAACTGCTGTTAGCAAACTTACAAGGACCGATACACTACATCCATGGAGATTCCGCGCACTTTCTGGCGTGATCGCATTTCACGTGTCTTGTGTTTTAAAGGTATACATCGGATCATTTGCATTGCATGCATTTTTTTTTAAAATAAAGTAACCAAATTGTTCGAACCCTGTTGAAATTTCAGATCAGTGAATATTATGCATCTTGAAAAAAAGAGAAAACCTATGCATGTCCTTGTTTGTTTGTTTGTTTGATTGATTTTCGTTTTGGGGGTGTCTCGTAGGTGAGATTGCGTTGCCAGCGCTACGATTCAAAGGATGCTGTTTGGTATTTTTAATAAGGTAATAAATGTGTGCTTGGCCGGTTTTAGACACTGTGCTTAAGACCGGTTGGAGTCTGGATGCTGATAATGAATCGAGCCGAAGTTAAAAATAAAAAATAAAACTTTTCGGTCTAAAGGTCAAAGCAATCCAAAAATGTGCGCATATGGAATACCATACCTTTGGTCAATTTTCGGGGACGGACACCCAGACCGACCGACACCCAGACCGACAGACAGACAGACAGAACGACCCCAAGCAACATGTAGAAGCTCCTGCCAGAGGATAATGCAAAAAGAATCTGAAAGAACTTACCATGACAGAAATAAATGTGCATGAGTGCACACACGTGAAAAAAATGTTTGCCAATCGATGAAATTGAATTCTTGACCAACCTCTCGCTGCCGGGCTTCGACAAAATTGAATGAACCATAACTTAACGACCATTTGAAAGTGAACGAACTCATTTGTCGAAAAAATGCTTACTAGTCAAATCGAATGACACCTTTAGACAATTGAATTCTGATGTAAGGCAGCATTCAATTTCAAATGAAATTTAATGGGCCTTGTATTAAATCGAAACACATTTTTAGTTGAAATTGAACGGAAACCTGATAGCAAAGTACTACGGACCATAAGACTTTCATGCGGGGGCGATGTAACAGGCAAGTTTACGAGCAAAGTGCACTTACACCTGCGAAAGACTGCTTCCGAAAGTCAACAGAATGGTTCATCATCACAGTGGATGCATGTCGTCGTTAATTAAGCGATCTAGATCTTTGCTATGGTGATGAAAAGGGCAAGGGAACTCGCGAATTAACTGGCTGCGTGGCCGATGGTTTTCGCGCCTTTTGCCCTGTCACTTATCACTGCAGCGTCCATGATTTTCCTCAACTTTTCAAGTTGGCGAGATGGATTGTGTTCGCTGCCTCTCAGGACTCGTATTTCCTGACATAATGGGGTTATTCACCCACAGACAGGTATTGATGTGACTGAACTCACATAATATGATACTAATGTGATGCTTACATAGCGCTTTATACCAAAGGTCTCAAAGCGTTTCACATCATGAAAAAAGCAATCTCGGAACCTTTTTTTTATTGTTGACCAAAACTAGACTGTAAATTTGAAAAAGAATTGTTCAAAATGTGAAGAAAAATGCAGAAATGATTCAAGACTCTCCTCGTACCATAGTCTTTGAAAGAGAGATTCGATTGATTTTTCGCTCACTGAAGTATTATAACGTCTTACAAGAACGCTTTTCAAACAAACCCACATTTTAACAGCCATTCAATAAAACTTAAAAATTTTCCTTGAATTGCACCTTTGAGTTCCATTCATTTAAAGTCTTCGTACGTGTATTTGCCAATTCTGAGGTATCTTAGGGCTTTCATTTTCTGAATAAAACAGTGATACATCTATCATGCTACTTTAAAGTTTTAGTGTTACTGCTGTCTAAACACAGAGAATTGCCGAATATTTAATTCGTGGTCAGTCGGTCAATTCTTTCCAAAAAAGATACTGGTAACGCTATTGCCTAAAGCGACATTATACAATAATGTAGAGCTTAAATTCGTCGGCCCTTCCCAGCGTCCTGTTTGCAGGGCGGGGGGTACGAGCGAACATTATACAACGACAGCGACTTTGGGTTTCTTGAAATCGCATGCATGAACATTGGAAATTGTACATTTCCAAGTATAAACCGCAAAAACAGTGGTTTGCATGCAGATGTGTGATAATTTGCACAAAATAATGTATGTCTGAGTGCATTTCAAAACCCCTTTGGCAATAAATTGCAAATAAGAACTGTGCAAGTCATATGATTTGGAGTAACAGTGAGACAATGGGTAACATTTAAAGCAAGCATGATCCCTGATACCATAGTATGCGTGATGATAGAGCAGTATTATTGGAAAATATTATGAAAGATTGCTGCACTTTTTTGTACAAAATACCGGGTTTAACGTTATGAACTTGTCGATGCCAGTTTGCTTGTATCGATACGGGTTTGTGTCATATCTGATAATGCCGACGGATTGCGTGAGATTTCTTCAAGAAGCCTGCCGATACCCTCAGATATTTTCTCTTTTGAAATGGATCATGAGTTATTAATGGGCGCATAACTGCAAGGGGGCATTTTAATAAACCCCACAATGTGCGGCCCAATTCAAACAGAGCGCTGACTAGCAGATAAACACGTTCTGAACGGGGTGCTATAATGTTGAACGGTACAGGAAGGCAAGCCCGGGGGAACATTATTCTCTGGGTAACCAATCGCTACACAACCCAATCGGGAATGGTTTTCACGGACAATAACTGCGCCCGCCCGGTTGCACAAACGAACTGTGAACGATCGGATGTGCCGCAGGCGCAGTGCGAATTCAATATTAACCTGCCAATTTGTTTTCGTTATCATAATCGCAAACAAAACAAAAATGCTGACGAAATGGTATTAAATGAGACATAATGTGGGTTTCGTTTGGGAGTTTCATTATTTAAAGGCTAGTGACGATCACCCAAAAATGCACTTTGTACAACAAACATGGCAATGACGTGACTTTACTCCTTGAAATGTCATTTTTTACGCTTGGTTGTCCATTTCCTTGTGGCAATATGTGGAATCATCCGTCTGTTTTGCTGTCATTTTGTAGAAGACGACATTCACGTATTTGATCAAATAAAAATCAGCTGAAATTATTATGCACTTTACGTTTTGTTGATAGTGTACCCAATTTAACTCGGCAAAATATTGTTTCGATCATTTCCGTCGAATACCGAAAAACTTTTTTTTTTTAACTCGGCCTTACTTGATACCTAAATTGGATGCTTCTGAAAAATGAAATGATGTGACAAATTTGACCCAATAAATAATCTATTGAACCACATTCTAAAATGTATTGAATTTGATTTGACTGACTTTTTGGTGCTATCCCAACTTCCCAAGTTATACCAAGGAATTGATGCAAACAAGTTTCCAGGTTTGGGGTCGGAGGGTCAGATTTTTTTTTTTCATAAAAGTGGCCCTTTCTTTCAAAAAATATTTATTAAATGTTAGAAGGTTGCTAGTAGCGGCTGTTATTAGAATGTCCAGCCCTTAAAAAGTAAGTCCGAAACAAGACTTGGCAGGTCTATAGGTAGTCATCTAAGTCATGTTTGGTTGTTGGGGGGGGGGGGGGGGGTAAAGGTGATGAGGCTCAGGACCGCTGAGTGGAAATGCAAGCTATTAGTTGGAAAATCTCATCTTACCTCAAACGAAGCACAATGATGCTCTTCAGTCTGCCTCACAGAATCCAGAGGCGAAGACAATCGGTGCACGAGGCATGCACGAAGCAACAATTGCTGCTATAAGAGAAATAGACAGAGATTGATGAGAAGTGCAACTTTAAAAGTGCAATATTTTTCTCATTCACCCGAGAGAAAAGACTTGATGTATAAACCAACGACACATATTCGACAGCTTTAGCAAGTGCACGTCGGGGCTAATGCATGTGTCACTTGAGCTCAATGACAAGTGCACATTAGCCATGTTGAAAGCGATTACGATGGATGCGATCTCTTGTCAAGGATGACCAGTCAGAGGACCAGGGAATGACCTCAGCCGTACATCCCGGCGAGCACTCACCATCGGATCTTACTTAGAATCTCTCAGAGGTCGCCTTTTACAAAGATGCTGAAACTAAATAAGGAGGATGGTCAAGGATTTCAATGGACATTGTAAGCAGGGAAATAGACTACGCATATTACTCACGGCACTTGTTCGGAAGTCACGTCAGTATCCAGAAAATCAATTACAGGAAAAAAGGTAGGCCTACGCCTGTACTGTCTAGGGTGATATTCTACTGGACGTACCAGTTGTTGGCATTTTGTCAAGGTAATGGCTAATGCTGCCCCATCGCATCAAGGATGTTTCTATCAGGAAAGATATACAAAGTTCATCTAATTTTGGAGTACACTGGCCACACCTTTCGAATTCACCACGCAAAGTGTTCCCCCGTCTTTCGTGTGCTGCATTTGTTTGCCATTATTTACAGAGAGTCTCGGGAACACTTCGTGGTCATAGACACGCTTGTAACATTATACAAGGTGAGGTTTTTGGTGTAAAAGTCTATCCCGGATTAGTTGAACCAAAATTAATAAACAGAGCCACGTACGTGCGATGATCTATAAAGGGATTCATGAACATCCCTTTGCTCATCCAATCTGCTAATTTTATCAAGCGCTCCTTCGCAGACAGTGACCAGTAAGACAAGCGTGACTTTCGAGCGGTCACGCCGGGTTGACTCCCCCGTCCTCTGTGGATTAGAAACGGTTCGCCCTCTCCTCGGGAAACACGGTGCACGTCTTTTTTTCTTTCCGGGAACCGGAAAATGGGGGTGTTCATATGAGAGAGGTAATCGATGGTGGGTAGGACTCGGCTTTCCGGCCAAGGAGGGCCAACCCGTGACTCGGAATTCCCTTTTCCAGCTCTCAGTGTTAAGTGTTGGGACTCCAGAGCTTAAAGCAGTTAAAGGGAAGTTTGCTTTATGTTAGGCCTACACTGAATTGGATTTAATGCAAAAGGCCCCTTGAACGCTGCGCCCTCAAGAAGACAGGTTGTGTCATTTAAATTAAGTGGCATGAAAGTTCTGTCTACGCATGCGTATCGCAGAGGAACAAAGATCTGCCCTCATGTGACTTCAGACGCAAGGGGTGTATAGAATTGCCTTATCCATGCACCAAGTGGCGTGGCCCGATTTTTTATTCCGGATTTGCGGCTGGGAATATAAAATGAGCGATGACCCAGAAAAATAAAATCAGATTTTTCAAAGGCCAGGGCAACAACATTTCCCAGCCCTTGAGCTATCCGGCTTTATGAGCGCAGGTGAGACATTTTGTGAGGCGACGTGAGAGGATTTTAGGAAGCACTTCACATTCTCTCGACTGTAGCTGTTCGCTCCAACAAGTGCTCTCCAAGATATAAATTGAGAGACGAAATGCGACATGTCCTTTTCCTTTTCGCACGGCAGACGCTCCCAGCGTCTATTGTCCGATCCGATATTTTGATCCTTGGCCATTTTATCTCGAAGACTTTTTAAGTAACGTCAACCTGCCAATACAGTGCCCCTAGAGCCGTCAAGCGATTCTTGGTCAACACTTTTCAACCAGATGCTAGATTTGAAAAAGTGGAAAAAAATAATCACTTCATTTTGTTGATTTTGTTTTATAAAATTTAGATTTTACAACCTCAGAATTTGCTTTTTACGAGCACTTGACAAGATTTGTAGGAGTTTTTGTAAAGAAGGTTTTTATAACAACTTTATACATTTCTTTTTAAATGCGCCAAATATGTCAGTTCATTCGTAAAACACGACTAATTCACAGGAAACTAAAACTGAAATTTCATCGATGATCCAAGCCCTTCGAGACATTTGTATCCACTTGGGTACCGCCGTATGCCTTGATTGAATCCTTCACAAGGTTAATATCTCTGACACGCTTTAAACACCTTCCAGGCTACACACATAATACAGTTGGCTAATGGTACAACACAATCCTATTAGCACGATGTCGCCCACGCCTTGATGTATCTAGGGGACTCCGTCATCATCGGTGGCACCTTTCTGTATGGAGTAACCGATGAGCGCATCAGAATGCAATTATTTGTTCTGCAACCAAGTATAGTCCCTGATCATAATATGCATGCGATAGTTGGGGAATAGTTCGTAGACTTATACCAGTTCGCGTCGGAGGACGTGATAACACGCACTGGCTGTTTTATACACAGGCAAGGCTGACGGTATGAAATGCCCTCTACTCGCCACCGGGTGACGTGTTAACACGTAAATCCCTCGTGTCTTTTGTGTACACACAAAGTCCATGAAATCTGTGGAGGCGGACCGCGTGTGGATCCTGAAATGGCCGTTGTGCACGGCCTATTGTTCTAAAATTTACTCTCCTATCCGGTGCACACCCCTGAGTATTGATACATATGAGCTTTCGGCAAGAAATTTCGTACAAATACTGTTGAAATGACTCATGCGAATCAGTATTTGTGGCCATTGGCTGTATATCAAAAGTTTGCTTTGTGCGAAACCGAAATTTTCGGCAAAAATAACCCCGGCGCGAAGTGGTTTTTAATTAACTGAATGTTAAAAAAGCCTCCATGATTCGGAAATGAAAGGGGATATGTATTTCATTGAAAAGTAGAACTTGTTCAAACATGATTATGGATTGAAAATGCAAATTTTCTGGGGAATTTGGATCTTTGCTCGAAATAGAATGGAAACCTTTGAAGTCATCTCAAATCACGTGACATCTTATTTAAATCACGTGATGTATTTCGCGCATGCGTCGTATATGGTAAGTGACTATACTTGGCTGCAGAAGAAAAATTTGCCAGCAGGTACTGCAGGTGGGACAACAATGACATGTCCGGAACAGATTTCACCTTTGCGGCATTCCACCGGACACAACTCCACCTGTCTTATCAAAGATTGACGCATTCTCTCGTGTCGCCGGCGTGTCATCGTCTTTTCTTTTCCCGGCAGAGCGTCTGTTACAAGAACGAGGCAACGCAACATTAATAATACAACTATAGAAGCAAAGAAATCAATGTTGCATATGGCAGAGAGCAAGGGTGACATGCAAGGATATGATAAAAAAAAAAAAATTAGAATTTCTCGCGCCGTGTTCGAACAGTGGCTTGAACCAACAAGAACTGCTGAATGAAAGGGAATATGACAGCTGCCACAACACTGCAAAAATGATGACACGATAGACAGAGATCGGCCGTAGGGCAAAGATTAATGAGAGATCGACACATCTGAAATATCAGTCGACCCGTCACACTGGCAACAGGAAGGAGTCTTATTAAACCCTACGCAATATGGTAAAACTTATTCCCAACACCATAATTCAACACCCACCCCCGTGTATGTATCTCGAAGTACAAACCCTCCTGGTGGGTTTGGCGTGGAAATAGGGAAGCCAAATTGTCCGGCACAGGCAGACGGAATTGGATCTTGGATCTTTTCCTCCTATACTCCACATGGAGTTTTAACTGGAGGTGATGGGTTTATTTTGAATTGATTGGTTATTTGCGTTGATTTGATTTTGTTATGAAACCAAGGGTTCCTCGAACTCATGAGTATCCGGTTCGTAAGTGACTTCGTCATACAAGCGCACGCACCACTGATTACGAGCGCCCATTGGATAAACACTCAAGTTGCGTTAACTTCCGGTTCCATTGGTGCCATGCTACACCATGTACAGTAAGTTGAGAAGACGTCACACTTACGAACCGGATAGGGGGCTGTACCTCGCAAGACTGAAGAAACTCAAAGGAGGTGAGGCAATGAAGGAAAGTTCAGTTTTAGAGGTAGCAGAAAAAAACAGAAAGATACTAAAAAGAAACCCCATGATAAAGGAATAAAAACCCTTTCAAAATGTGGGTCTGGGTCAACCTGAAATGCAGCATTGATTCGAGATATTTCATATACAATCTAATGCCAAGTGGCTCGTCGTTTCCGTGAACATGAGCCATTGATCCTGCAATAAAATCAAATGCTTTTCTGTCATATCTGAAAAGTAAGCATGGGTTGGGATTTCAAAAAATAGACATTCGATCGCTCTGGTAATTGAAAAGCTCACACAAAGCTTCCGGTTTTGGTAACTACACCTTGGTCTTACACGCCGTCTTGGTTTTCAACCACGCCGCAAAAAAGATATCCCGCTACCTGTCTATAAGACAGCACAAAGTCAATATTTTTCATTTGTGGCGGGAACCGATCTTATCAAAAACTTGCGTCCTCGCACATCATTGTGTCCAATGGATGCCTGGAACCCAATCGTAGCTCTTCAAAGCTACAGCCCCTGCTACTCCGTACAGACCTCACGGGGATGCCTTAGGAGGCCACACGTCCCCCTCAATTTATTAGCTCCGACATGGATAAATAGGGAAACTTGAAATTCTATATCGCCTGCCTGCCAGCGCTTTCCTTTATCGGCCGGGTCCCCCTTGCCAGTCGGGTCCAATATCCCTCTATATTCATCAAGAAGGACCGGGGAGAATGGAGACAGTCACGGGAGATGGGCTGGGATGAAAAGGGGTATGAATGCGGACGGGCTTTTGGGAGAGGATAGAGACAACAAAAGTGCCGACAATAAATGTCAGTTTTGGCGATAGAGACTTGGATGACGTCAGGAAATGAAGCGAGCAATCGAAGGAATTATCTAAACCTTATGACACCGGGAACTACAGAAAGATGACAGTATTGATGCATATTATATGGCATCATCAGATAAGAGCCCGCGTGGCGAACCTTTCAGAGAACATCACGTTATCTGGTTTTAGGTTATACCTG